GTAATTAATTCGCATGCTAATTAACACCCGACAATTAATTAAAGCCGTCCGGGCGGGCGGGCGAGTCGACGCGCTCGCGCCCGTAACTCGCGCGGTTTTCGGCCGCGACGTAACTGAATTTTATTAATTCGAATTTACCTCCGCCATTTACCACCGGCGATCGCAATTACGACTGAAAACAATTGTAAGCACAAATTCCGAACACACACACACACACATCACATCTCATCACGTGGGCGAAACTTTTAGGAATGACGTCGAACATCGCACGGCCATCTTCTCAATGCACAAGCGCCCTCTGCTGACGACAACCGCCACAATCGCAATAAAAATCGAATTAAACTCCAACCGGAGGGTGAAGAAAAATGAGCTTGTAACACACCTCGTTGTGCGTTTTAATTAATTTGCTTGTCTCGGTTTTTTTGCGCGTCTTTCTTTTAATTCGTTTGTTTTGTTCGCGGAATTAATGGCACCCGTGTGGATTGCACATAAAATAAGTTTAATGTAGCGTTAATGAATTCGCCTTTTGTTTCGCGCGCTCTTCGGGCGTCTAATACGGGGCTGAATTAGAGTGGTAATAAATATAAGCGGATGGACCACCCGGTGCAAAACGAAACGCCAAGGCGCAAAAAGGGTTGTGTCACGAGTGAAAACACTACGTGATGTAAGTAGGTACCTACTTGAAACACTCGAAAATCCAACAAGGGTGCTTCTTGAATATGCGCTGCGTGTCTGTCGTCTAATTTTATTTGCGTTCGTTTTGTTTTAGTTGCGCCGGGCGTAATTAAGAGTAATGATGTTATTCGGCGGAAAAACGCGCATTCCGTGTGCTGTGGTTAACATTGATAATCCGCTTCGTGACACATTGAATCAAGTCGAGGGTGGCGGCCGCAAAGGGTCCTCGTTCTGACGATGATTTATAATCGCGTATTAGGCCACTTTCGGTATCAACGCTAACTTCCTGATTTGTTCTATGCAATAATAATAGAGTTTGGCTGGTAAATGGCACCCGCGGGAGTGATATCTCAAACGGCTCCCACCCTCGCGCGCGGCGGCGGGTGTGGTGTGTGCGCCGGTGCGCGTTTAACCAAATACAAGTCGAACGCGTGTTTACGCGCCGGCGAAAGCGGAAAAATCAAAAAATCCCCCTCGCTGCCGAGGAGGGAAAGCCAGCCACCAGCCCTGCGAAAACTCAATTTACCGCTACATTATAACCGAGCGCATTGGCTCCATAACCATCCCTTTAGTTAGAAGTGGTAGTGAGGAGATGGTGGAGCCGCGTACGCACGAAAATATACTACCCCAATACACCGATCGTGGAGGGTGTCCTCGGGTGTCCTCGCCGTCTCTATTTCCACACAATCTGGCTTCGTCTACAGCACGCATCCCCTGATTCCGACGAGTTAGCGGTACCTATAACCGCTATAACTCTCCGCAGCGACCCCCGACGCCCGCCTCGGCGTCGTTTTCAACGCGTATCAAAGAATATTAGCTTCGGATTACTGTTAATCTAATATTTACTTCTTTCTCGCTTCGACGCACGCACCCGCACGTGCGGTGTATTTACGCGGAATTTTTTTTTTCCCGGATCTCACCCTCGCCAAATTCCAGCCACGAAGTCTTCGAGAGAGGAAAACAGCGCGCCGCTTAAAACCGACACCACGCAAAGTGCTTATTTATACGGGACGCGTTTGTTCCCGGGGATTACGCGCGCAAATCCTCGCCGAAAAAGAAGTGCGTAATGTCGGCGGCGCGCGAATTAAGTAGGAGTGAATGAAGAAAGGCTCACAATGAGAAATTAAGTTATTTTCCGGTGCGGCTGGCACGAAGGGGTGTGCGAGTGTTTCACGAATTATTAAACCGAGACTAATTCTTATTTATCGCTGGTGATGTCGCCCCTCGACCTGTGGACTCGACGCGCAATTCCGACAGTATAATCACTTTATTAGTTATTGTTACCGGATATTACAGCTTGGAATCTCGCTCCTGTCTACGTCCAGTATAGAAAAAAAAATAGTGATAGTTTGTAATGATATGGAGACGTCATTGAAGCGACATGTTTACTGCCGTGATAAATTGATATTTATTTAATGCGAATAGAAACGATTCACATTTCGATGTGTTTAATAGCATAAACGACGTTTGATTGATGATCGCGTTCCGTGTTTCATTGTCGTCGCTTTGCGAAACACAGTTACAATTAATTAACTTCCTAATTACCTATTACGTACACTTGGTGTTAATGATGAAAATGTCTAGTTGTTTCGATTCACACTGATTGAGAAAGAGGAGCGAGGATTATAAAACGCCGGCTAAAAACCTGGAAGGCTCTTTGTGAGTGGTAAATTTTTGATCTGAGCTCATGGATTGTGGTCATGAAGCGACTTTGCGCCGTCAACTCTTCGCCGAAGACGGAACAAATAAAAACGAAATTTACGACTTCTAATAAGTTTCACTTCGACTCGCCGGAGCGCTTTAAGCGCGCCACGCATATTTTTCATATTTTATTCGTTTATTTGTAGCGTTTAAGGGATTATTAAAATTCTTCGCTCCGCGTTTGGCGCTCGAGCGCTGAGCACGGAGGAAATCTCGAGAAGCGATTTCGAGCGCGGCTTGGATCTTTACGTTTTCTCGGAGCTTTGTGCGCGCGCGGCGCGCGGGCGAAAGGTAAAAGGCGTAAGGGCGTAACTAAAGCGTCTTTGTGGCCTGACGTGTTTTGTGGCCTGGACGCAAGAGGTCGGCGTGTTGTCCGACAGTCGACACCTCGACAGCCCCTGTGAAAAATAATGTCTTTCTTCGGCTCGTTCGCGTTTATTGACTCTAATTGAGTTCTTCGTTCCACGCATACAGCAGTGGTTTATTGAATTTCGCCGAAAGGCACACACTCGGCCGCTTGACCAGACGAGCACCGAGAAAAACTCAAAATCGCAAAATGTTACTCTCGTACAAAATGAATATGATAGTTGAGAATTGTAAGCAACAGCTAGAGAACAGTTTCACGCCGCGTAATCCTATCACATCGTAAAGAAACAGATTACTTTTTTTCAGGTGCACGACGCTAAACCCAATTTCATCTCGACACAAAACCATAATTTACAATGAGATGACGATGACGATTTTAGAAATGGAGATTTGTATCGAAATTTCCACCTCAACTCGATTGATTCGCAATGGATTCAAGAATAATCCTGCAAATTAAGCAGGAATACGCTTGTTTTGAATAATACACATAATTTAATTTAGCGTTAAATCACAGAACAGCTTGTTTGATGTACCTACATAATAGCTAGTCTTTAATCTTTATCTTCAGTGATTTCATTTTGAAAATTGAAGGCAGTCCATTAAAAAATTCTCACACTCTCTTGAAGGTGTAGCAGACGCGCTGAGAAAATTCCTCGTACACGTCGAGTTTACAACCGCATGCATGTGCGCGCATTAGCTTAAACATTTATCACAATTACATTTACATTAACACGGAGTTAACAAGGTGACAAACCGTACGTGACGCCGTATGCCGGGCAAATATATTTTATAGTAATACCTTTCAGCTCTCCCGTCGTTTAACGATTCATCATCGACTTTATGTTAGAGTCGCGGCGCATTACCCATTCAAAAACAAAAATACCGAAACGAGCGTGCGCGCCAACTTTGACTAACTTTTCTCATCGCGCTGCAAGTCGATCGCGTTAGATTCGGCTGTTATGACTATTACTATCGTTACATTATCGTTACGAGGTGATAAGGTGATAAGGTGAGTGGCGCTCGCATCAAAAATGTAAACGATTAACGATTTGCCGAATTATTTACCAACTGTGGCGCGCGCGCAATTGGTGCACGTTTTGCTTGAAATAAAGTTGCGCCAAGTGGGAAAATCGCGCCACAAAGGAATTACGAGCGAAATGTGAATGTTGCATGAACAATGGAAAATTATAATTTACAATTAATTTATCGTTCTCGCCAATGGAACAATTCCAACCGCAAATAATAACTCAATTAATTCTAGTTGACACGTCGGCTTTTGTTTGGCAAAATTTCGGTTTGAACACAAACGCGCGCGCGCGCCGAACAAAAAGTGCGCATTTTCACGTTGTGTGCTGTGTGTCCATGGCCGGCTGTAAAATCCGCTAATGTGTGCTAGATAAATTACATCTGAGTGGCATGAATGCAACTTAAGTCGGGATGCGCTGCGCGTTGAGAAGTTAATTAACTTTTACAATTTCGTGCGTTTTTGATGGCATGCCACAATGATGCAATCTTCATCGTCGTCTCGGCGCAATATAATCCGCGATATTAATTATGATTTTAATTACACGCGACAAGGTGGTGGTAGTCAGGGTTATTAATTGATTCCTTGCGATTTCGCCGCGCGATCCGGACGTGTGCGCGCGTGGACTGCCCATTTCGACGCGGCGCGCTTTCTGGATGCATTCCTGTGGATGGGGCCCTGGGTATTGTTGGTGCGCTCGGGTCGCCTCGGCGTTTCTTTGCGTTCGCGCTTAATTAAGACATTAAATACGGCGCACGGACGCGCGACCTCGCATGGAAGCGCAAGCAAGGTACAAAACGGGCATAAGTTTTAGGAAATTCTGCTATTGTTAACTCGATATTTTTGAAAACTCTTCCACTTCCTGGTACCAGAGCTTAGAAAGGCGTTGGTATTAAGGTAGGACAACAACAGGATAATTTTCTAAAGGTGGTTGAGAAATGATAAACTCTGGTAACATGTATGGAGTTAGTAAAAACTGGTGATGAATCTTTGCCCTCGCTTGCATTTTACCATTTCTGCCAGAAAAGACCACTTGGTGGTGTTACCCGTGTAAAGGACGAATTGTCAACAAGAGGATCGCATTAGTCCATTAAGTCGTTCGCATTGAAAACACGTCTTCCTAAAAGTTTCGCCCTATTTTGTGAGATTCCGAATTGAGTATCTAGGTACTACGTTTTGTTGAAGATAGGTAGGTATGTCTTCAAGGGTTTTCTGGTAGGGTGTGATCGTTTACCTTGATGCGATTCGCTGCCACTATCCTCCGACGGCGGGCCCGGCGGCGCCTGCAACCCAAGTCCATTGGAGAACCTGGGTCCACCACGAGCCAGCTGGTTGAACGCCCCTGGCATCCCCAGCAAGCTGGCAGCGCCCGGGAACTGGAGGAAAGGCGCCCATGGTGGCCGGGGGTGCAGATGGGCCGCTGCCGCCGCGTACAGCTGCAATGGGGGCGGCAGGACCCCCGATTCCAACACCATATTATTTGGGGAGTTCACTTTGATCACTGTTCGGTCCAGCGGGAGCTTAAGGTATGCCGGATACCGGCTAGGTCAGCTCGCGGAGGGCTTCGCGCACTCCTGAGGAACTCACGACGGCATGCGACGGCGCGCGTGCTTTCGTCCGACGGCACGACACCTCACGAAGAGTCCTTGCGGGCGCGAAAACAAAATAAAAGCCGCACTGGTTTGGAACTACATCAAAATGTCCACGATCCGATCATCTGGTTGGGCACAATGTTGTCGCTGGACGTGCTGGGGACTTGTGCGGTATACACGGGGTGGCTGATGCACGCGGTCGAAGGATCTGGTGGTGCTCGAACTCGATCGGCGTCTCGATAGTGTGTTCGCTGTGCGTGGCGAGTACCGGGCGGCACAAAGAGCGGCGAGTGTGTGCTAACTTGAGGCGAGTTTGCGGTCCACTAACCGCTTCGACGGGCGCCGACATGAAAGAGGCGGGCGACACGCGTGCACGCCTTGCGCGCCTGCCGCGCCGCCGATTGGTGGCGCATTCAGCTGGGGGCACACCCCTGGTTACGTCGAAAATCTCATTATCGAGTTTTTAGTACCGCTGCCAATATGTTTTCTGTTATTTATTGTCAATAGACTTGGGCCGCGCGCGCGCTTCTCGCATGAGTGTATGCATCCGTCTACACATAACACATTTATAACGCGTATTCATGTTAAATTTGTCGTTTGTCGCTACGGAACCTGCCAAAAGTTTCCCGACCTCCAAATAAACACACCGCACATTTCCATATACACATCCAAGCAATCTAAATAAAATCACGCAAAAATCATTGTAGGTACATGAAAAAATTTTATTTAAAAAATGATTTTTTACTCTTATGGAAAATCTCAGCGCGAATTGCGAATGCAATTGGTTGGTGGTTTGTAGAATGGGCTGGTGCGTTGTGTAGAAACTTATTATATGGTGTTGAATGTAAATTTTCCAATGTGCGTTTGATGCGTTTTTGCTGTTTGCACGGCGCTGGGCGGCGAATGGGAAAAATGGCAGGCGACTGGAAAAAAGGGCAGCGCCGGCGAGCAAGACAACAACTGCGAGCCGGTCGCGGCTGCTGCCGCCCGATTCGGTTTTATTGTTAGTTTTCGACGGATTGATTACGGCGGCCCTTTTGTCCGCGCCGATGGGACAAAAACGCCGCCGGTGCGCGCTCACGATTTACAACAATATGCTGATTTATCGGTAATTAGCTTTTTTGTTATTGCGCCGCGCGCACCGCGCAAAGAACTCAATTACGGATCGCGGACGTTCGATAAACGCGCGACTCGACACCCGACATTCTCTATAATTACAATTACGATTGCGAGTTTTGCCAACCGCTGGCGTTAATTGACAAATCGTGTAGACATAAATATATTTACTCTTTGACTTGCAGATGCGACGTTTTCAACGCAAATCTCTCACCATCAGCGGCGTGCGAACGATACTCATCAGGCGAGAACGGTTCATTCTTAATTTGGCGCTAATTAAATAGCGTGCGAGGCGAAACACTCGAAAAAACAAATAATAACGTCGTTAGTAATTAAGAACAGGCGAGAAAAAAAAAATAAGATGAGACGTATCTATATTCTATCAAATTGTGTTATTATTACAATTTAATAAGCGTGCTGCGTTTCGTTGCTTCGCTGCTCTGCTCTTCTCTTCTCATTTTCTCCAACTCCGATTGCCGAAATCTCGCGGCTCGAATTTCGACCTCGCGCGCCGCACCAGAGGGCACCAGAGGGCAGTAACATGTTTTTAATTAACATTTAAATTGAATAAATATCGCGCGAACAAATCTATAATCAACGCTCATAATCGTAACAATATTACGAGGCGAAGAAAAATGCCTCACGAAATAATTAGCCTTCGCGTCGAGCCGACGAGAGTCGAGCAAGCATGGAAAACAAATCTTGAGATGTTTTCATTTTATTTGCGATTATTCTCCGATTTCATTTTTTTTTTTTGACACGTTGATGATTATTTTCACACATTTCGCTCGGCGAGGCGATTGTTTAAACCTTGTGTTTGTTATTGTTGAGTTTTAATTCGAAGATTAATCAGGAATGCGTGATGGGTTAATAGAATGGGAAGCGTTATTTAATTCCGTGGTTTCGGCGCAAGTTGATTTCTAATTCGGAGCGAACCCCGCGATCGGTTCACGAAATTGCGCGCCAGTGTGAGCAGGAAATTGCGCTGCAGGTGATCGCAACGATCAAGCTCGTAGAAATTAACGCATCAAACAAGACGCGGACAACGAGCACACAGGAATACATTACACTAGCGGGCTGCGTATTAAAAATAATGAAAAATTAACACCACGACATAAATCTACTAGGTGTCTAACCACGAATCAAAGCCACAAAGAATTAAAAATGTTACCAGTATAATTCCACCCTGTAGATTGCACCTCGTTGATTTTCGGCGGATTATGAGGTGTCATTATAATAATTATCATTTTTATTAAACTCACGAATAGAAATTTGATTACCGCCGAGCGCACAGAACAACAAAACGCTCTTACAATGGAAATCGTAATCGTCCGTAGATAAAATCGAAACGATGAAGTGAGCAGCAGCGCATCCCGTCAAAGCGCGCCGAACGAAAACACGTCATTCATCATTCATCATGCAACAATCAAATAAAATATTTTCATCTGAAGTGAATTCGAGCGCGGCAAATCTGATTCGCGCACCAGTATATCTATATGCTGGCGGGGATGGTAAATAGATGCAACATTAAAATCGTAGCACACCGTCCGTGTAATCCGACGCATATGTCCGTCGTCCTTTTAATTCCCGCTCCCCTGGACGCGTGTTAATCAGATCGGAGATACCACGCGCGCGCCGAGGCCGATACCGATCGCGATTTGTCGATTCCCTCATCGTCCCTTCATCTTCGCCGAGCCGGGGCTGGTTTTGTAAAGCGCTTGTTGCAACATCGCGCAACATAACCACACACACACGGCTTCAACTCGAAATGAAATGAAATCAGGTTGCAGATACAATGTGTGGGATGGAGGGTTGGATGCCGCCTTCGATTCTTGATGCTTGAACGAGATTTGAGCCGCGTCGATGACTTGTCGCACGTAGATTAACTAGACACCGACGCATACATACATATAACGCAAGAGTGCGAGGGGTTTGAACGGGGGCGAATCCCCGGGACGAGTAAATGTAATGAATTGTGGTATTAAGTTTTCAGATCATATCTATAGACTCGTCCCGACACTCCCGACACTCGCAACACTCATTCTCGTGTAGTTGTATGTACCAAATGGAAAATAATTTTTGGTCATTGAATTATACTTGTTGCGATGTTTTGTACATGCGGGCTGGAAAATGACGCAGTTTTGATGGTCCCCGAAGTATATCGTTGTGTTTAGCAATATGCGGCGGCTTCAATCACATATCTACTAAAGCTCGTGGTCCCTGGAGAGCAGCGGGTCTCTGGTGTTCGAATAAGTTCCACCTTGTTCGATGTTCGATGTGCGACACACGCGCGCGCAAACCACACCGCCGAGAATTGGAGCAGCAGACTCGCAGTGGGTTCGCAATAAAAGTATACATAGAGAATATTATCGAGATTATTAAATGTGCCCTTTTATCCTATGCAGATTTATTCGTCACTTACTTTTATCGCTTTCCGAGATAGTTCGGGGTGGCTGCGGCAGTAAAAGCCGACTTAAACAATAAGAATTTCCGGATTAACTGAATATAAGCCGAGATAAATTTACTCCGCGTGTGAGTAACACGACAAAGGGGCGGTAAAAATGATAATTGAGGGTGGAGAGATAAAAATAAAAATGCATGAGATTTTTTTTGCCTAGTTATTTTTGATGTGAGTAATATTTAAATACTTACGTACAACATTTATTTAATTCAATGATATTATCCGAGGCCGTATTTTGTTTTGCTTCCGTAGATTAGGTACCTACCCACGTCCACGCAGCAAACTTCGAAATCGCGTCGCGAAGTAATTTAAACAATTCAATTGGGAATTTCGCAAATTTCGTAGTAGATGCCAAGAACGGCCACTTGGTGCCCGAAAGTTTGCGCGCCAAAGTGCGGCAAGTCGCTCGTGCAAAATTAATTCGCCGCTCATTAATATTATAATTGAGTTGAGAGCGGGGCATTGTTTGATTAGTAATTAGGGGTCGGTCGTCTCGCGAGACGCGCAGATGTCGCGCGCGCGCCCGCTCCGCTCGGGTTATTGCCGCTGCGCCCCCGACCGACGACCCGAAGTCGCCGCCGACCCTCGAAATTCGCCCTCCGAACATCCCCCGCTCGCTCATAACGCGCCGAAACTCACCAGAGAGTACAAAACCACAAATCAAAACGCAAACGCATTTTTCTCCACTCGTGCGCCGCCGTCTGCTGTAATTTTATTGTATTCAAAGCGTAAAAATGAAATAAAATTAAACGAACATGCAGCATTGATAATTAATAAATGTGATCACATGCAAAAAAAAAACAATTTTAGACATATTTACCCTTTTTTGTTAATAGAAATATATAAAAATTACAGTTTTAAGCATTTTAGGTGAAAAAAACATTTTTTGAATATTTTGACTGAAATGTTTTTTATTCAATCGAGGGTTTCAGTTGGGAACTGAAGAAATTCGCGATCACGCAGCAGTCGCCTAGACGCACATTAATTATCCGAGAAATAAACGAATCGTCCGCGAACAATCTCGCGCGTAGAAAAGAACGCGCTCGCGTTTAACTGCTCTCTAATTAAGACATCATAATTTTGCCCGCGCGCTCCCCGCCGTGGCTTTTTCGTGCGCGCGCGTATCTGCAAACAGAGATATAGATACTCGCGCGAGCATTCCGAGCAACAATAATAAACGCATTTAAACGGCGTAATAATTTAGCCGGCAATTAAAAAAGGATCTCAATAAATGTCAATGTAAATCATGCGCGCTCGCGAGCCCTCGCGCCGCGTTCCTCGCTCTCGCTTATCGCGCGTCCGTTCGCGCATTAAACGCGGATTTTTTTACCCCGCACCACGGCGCGAATCCCGCCGACCCAGGCCTTTCACTCCCGATGGCAGGCGGGCACGGTGCTCCTTTTGCAGTGCGCGCTCGCGCGCTCGTTTCGCGCTTAGTTATCGCCTGTGCAAAGCCGCTGTGCTAAACGGCATCGCGCCGCGCCTAGCCCGCCGTCACCTCGTTATGACCGCGAATTTTATCTACGCGCCTCGCGAACATTTCAATCAGCGATTCCCTTGTTCGCTGGCGCAGACTTAACGGCCTCTAACTGCTTTCGTAATGGAATAAACGGCCACGCAAATAAAGACATTTCATAGTTAAACTTGAGGAGGCCGCGCCGGGGCGAATAAAATATTGATAAAGGAAAGAATGCGAAATTACGACTCGCTGC